GGAGGATGAGGATCAATCCCCCGAGGGAGAGCAGGAGCCGGGGCTCTGAGCAACCTGCTCTGGCTGGGGATGTCCCTGCTCCCTGCAGGGGGTGGGACCAGGTGACTTCTGAAGGTCCCTTCCCACTCCACCACACCCTGGTTTGTGACTCTGCCCCTGCTGCAGCTGAGGCTCTGTGCCCTGAGGAGGGAGGGCAGTGCAGAGGGCAGGATGTGCTCCATGGGCTGGCTCTGCCCAGCCCGTCCTGCCCACGCAGCACAGGGCAAGGAGCTGCCTAAAGCCAGGGAGCTGTGGGCCTGCAACCCCTGGAATGGCTGTAAAATGGGGGGAAGAGTGGTCTTCTCATGGGAGGTCCCTCTGCTGCGTGCTGCCTGCAGAACACGTGGGGGCTCCTGCAGCATGGAGCAGGATTCAGGTGTGTCCTGCTCAGCATGGCCTGGTCCTTCTGGAGGGGAGGGGCTGGAGCAGGACCATGGGGAGGCACAGCCCGGGTGGGGCTGGCAGGGACCTGAAAGCTCATCTGGAGAGCCAGGGGCAGGGACCCTCCCAGCAGAGCAGGGTGCTCAGAGCCTGGCCTTGGCCACGGCTGGGCACCAGCTCCTCCCCTGGGGAATCTGAGGCCTCATCTGTCCTTCCTTCCCTGTGCAGTCCCCCGGGAGCTCCCCCAGGCAGGTGCCTGAACCCCAGCTCCACTCTCAGCCCTTTCCCAAAGTCCTGGGGAGGTGTCACACCCAGCCAGACCTGTCACCATGTCACCACCCCCCGGCCACGGCCCGGGACCTGCTGGGGCTGGTGGACAAGGAAGCACCTGGGGCTGGAGATGTCCTGGTGCCCAGGAGCCCTTCCCTCCACAGTCAGTGATGCTCTGGGCTGGGCTAATTGGGTTTAATTAGTCCCGAGGTTTGATACAGACCATGTTGGGAAGGGTGTATGGGCCTCCTCCGAAGGGCTGGGCCATTAACAGCAGCAGCCTTTGGGAGCTGGAGTTTGATGGGAGGAAGAAGCTACCTTGAAGATGATGATGGTGTGGGGAGGGGAGCTGAGGAACCCCTGGAGCTGAAATCTGCAGCCTGGCCCCTGAGCAGCAGGGCAGGTGCCAGGCAGGTGGCCCTGGTCCCAGCATCTCTTGTCCCCCCTTTCTTTGTGGATCTGGAGAAGGTCCAGCTGGGCTGATGGCCACCACCAAAGTCCCCAAGATGTCACCTGTCTCTTTCTGTAAATCCTTGGTGTTTTTCTTTTTTTCTTGTAATAAACCCTCACGGTTATTTTTATAAACTCAAACCCCTCCTGCTTGTGTCCTGTCTCCTTCCTGGCCCCAGCGTGGAGCT